AAAAAAAAAAAAAAAAAAAAAAAAAAAAAGAAAGAAAGAAAGAAAGAAAGAAAGAAAGAAAGAAAGAAAGAAAGAAAAGAACTATATTAGACTCCAGGAGGTTGAAAGCGCCTCCTAATCTAATCCTGCAAACTCTAGTTCTTGCCTTAAGCCACGCCAGCGGCCATCCTTGGCTCACACAGCGCTGGGCCTTCTGAGGCTGGAGCTCACTTCCCCTGGAGTCTCCAAGGCACAAAAGAAGCTCCAGCCAAGACGCCTACAGTACCCAGGTTTCTGCTTCCCGCTGACGCTGGCCCTGGCCCTGGCCCTGGCCCTAGCCCTGGCCCTGGCCCTGGCCCTGGCCCTGGCCCTGGCCCTGGCCTACAACCTGGGTCAAGCCCCAGAGAGTGTCTCAGAATGTGGTGACCTTAGAAGAACACACAGAAAATCTGGCATGTGGATATGTCCAGGGTATCTGTCCATGTACTGACAGGTAACTCTGGTGCTTGTAAGGTGTTTGGTGGGCTGGAGGGAGGTGGGTTGGAGGCAGCCCTTGAGGCCCCCAGGGGTGGGGATCAGGCTAAGGACAAGGACAGCCCTGAGCTTGGGAACCGGCCTGCCAGCCCTCAGCCCTTGAGGGCAGAGAACAAAGCTCACGCCCCCTCCCACACATGCAGCCTCCCCAGGCAGACTCCTGGCGCGTCTCCCACCGCCCTGTCTCAGCACTTTCCCAGGCCTGTCTCCCAGCATTGTGCAAGGCCCAGCGGCGAACCAGGAAGCGAAACTGGGTGAAAACGGAAAGCAACACGCAGCCATTGAGTTCCAGGATCACTGGAGCAGACTTTGCAGTTTCTCTGATCTCTAGAGTCCACCCCACTCAGGAATCAAGGTTCCTGCTGGAAGGATTTTTATCTCCATTGGGTTCTGAGGCAAAGTGGTTTGAGACTCCGCAGCGAGAAACTGAAGGCAACAGCTTCCCAAAGCCTGGAAAATCCCTAAGTGGAGAAGGTCTAGTGAGGAGGAGGAGCGACAGGGGAGGGTGGAGAGAAGCCGCTGAGGACAGCAGTCTGCAAACGCTGCTGTGCCACCCCTGGAGGTTTCCGGGATGGAAATCACACTTTTCTTACCCGGATATATTGTTTGTGGGAGCATTTAGCCCATGCAGCTCCTGCGGCTCTGCAGCAGCCGGCTGGCAGCGGTCCAGAGGGAACCGGAGGGGCAGGGTAGCAGAGGGTCCCAGGCACACGCCCCTGCGCTGTGGTCCCAAGGGCGCCAACCTGGCCCCCCAGCGGGCGCTCACATCTTGGTTCGATCCTAGACTGGGAGCCGCCGGGTCGCCGCGCCCGCCACATCGCCCTCTGCTGGCTGCTCAGCCTCCGCTTTCCTCCCGGCCGCCTCTCCGGCAGGCTGGGGACCTCCGCGGCGTCCCGCGCGCCAGCTACCTGCGTGCGCCCCTTTGGCCTTCGGGTTTGCAGGGGCTGTCCCCCCAAAACCACACCTAGCAAACAGCTTTCTGAGTCCCTACTCAGAGGCAGACTGGGCCCTTTCTCTTCAATTCCCTCCTCAAACGGGAGTCCGTGCACACCCCCGGCGGACCCACCTTAGGCTCCAGAAGCACCTTATGTCCCTCCCACCGCATCGCCTAAAATTGTGGGCGCGACAGGACAAGGCGGGGGTAGTTACTGAGAAAAGCTGGAGAATGGCCTTGTCAGGGGACAGCCAAGCCTAGAAAATCTGTGCCTTTGCATTAGACACCCCAATTCGTTCTACCAGGGAAGACTTTGCTGACCCCCTGCGGCTCCAGGTCGACCCATTACTGCGGCCTTCTGCACTGGGGTCATGGGTCCTCCACAACAGTGTCTTCCAGAGGACCCGTAGACCACCTTTGGGGGTATAAATAGGAGTGTTTCTAGCGTCTCACAAAGGCAGCCTCTTCCTGCCCCTGTGCCCACCGACCTGGTCCTGTAGGCGCCTTGACAGCCACACGCTGTGGCTGAGAGCCGGGAGAGGGCAGTGGGAAAACTGCAGAGGCAGAGTCCCACGAGGGCTGGGCAGGGTCTGGGGAAGCAGAATTGGCCCGTTGCTCTGCCAGGTCCACAGACTCTGTGTCTGAGCCCCTCCTCTGTAGAGAGCCAGGGAACCGGCCTACCTCTGAAGGAAGAAAACCTGCTTTGCTTCTCGGCAGCTTTGTCCTAATTTTCTGGGCGACCCCAGACTCCAGCTTTCTTAGGAGAGAATCATCTATGTGGCCACCCTGCCCCCAGGGTGATGGGTGCTGTACCTTGTCAAAGTGGGAGAAGGTGGCCCCTGAAGCAAAAACCTTGATACTTGGGTGGGAGGGGGCTTAAGAAAAGGAACAAGCTGTGCTGTGTACGTGCTCCTACTCCCCCAGATGAATGTAAACTTCACGTACTGCAAACATGTACTAATACAATAAAAATAAATAAATAAACCTCAATGCTGAAGCCCACCCCTTCCCCAGCCAAGGCCCCAAGGACAGTCCTCCTCTCCACCTTCCCAGGCACCATCCTCCCTTGGTCCTGCCTCAAACCAGCCTTCCAGGAGGGTGCTCTGCTTCCTCTGTATCCTCCCTGGTATGAAAATCAACAGCCCAAAAGCCAGCAAAGTGCTCACATCTGCAAGGTTCACCCCAGGGGTGGAGTGGGGTGTGCATCCCAGGTCCAGTATCCCAGGGCTGGGACGGATGCTAGCTGTGTGATCAGCACTCTGGGTGGGCGACTCTTGGAACGAGCTGCTTCCACCAGGGCCACATTCAGTCTGCTAGAAATAGAGACAGAGGGCTTCTTGACTTTGCATATGATTTACATAATGTCATAGACACAGTCTATTTTCAGGCAGTTTTCAGGTTCAAGTGTTGTCACTGCTGCCCTGCGGGGTGTCATGTCTGGATGAGTCTCTTTTCTATTCTTTCTCACCCACCCACTCTTAATGACCTACATCCCCAGCCGCAGGAGCAAACGGTGAGGGGGGAGAGAGTGGGGTTGTCCAGGGCAAGAGACACGCTGGAATCTCCTCTGTCACCAGCATCACTAAAAGCAGAGTCTAATTGCTCAAGAGCAACCCTTGGGCAGAGGGTAAGGAGTGGGACGCCAGGTAGCCCATCTTCTTTCCTGCCTCTCCTACTGGAACTGCCAGTTCCTATACCTGCTATTCAGTCTTCTGCCAGTTAGAAGAAAGATGTTTGAGTAGATAGACCTGTGCTTCTCAGCTACCCAGAAAGCCTTGCTTGCTCAAAATATCCCTTATGAGCATTTATTCGCAGCACTGATTTGATCTCTGCCTCCTAAGAAAGCTGGTTTTCCATCTGCCACTCTCCCAGGAGACACATCTGAGCAATCGGGGTCCTTGTTTGATGATCAATATTGGTAAAGCACCTGACGCATAGAAAGAGGTCAGTCGTGCTACAGCCCCCTTCCTTCCCTTCATATCGCAGGCTGTGCAAAGCTCCCAGTTGTCCTTGTGCGGGTGCCTGACACAGGCGCAGGCCTGGGGTTCAGAGATAACCCAGCAGAAGGGCCAGCCGGGCTGACGTCACTAAGTCGCGTGTGATCTTGGCAGGTACTTTGCCTCTCCTCACCTGAGAAGGAGGGGTTTGGTGAAGATGAAGGACAAAGACAATTCTCCTCACTGTTTGGCTACCTGTCCTTGGCCACAGAGGGTCAGAGTGAGAGCCTCTTAGGGCTCCCTCAGGCAGGCTCTGGCTTTGGGGCCAGTGTGGTATCTTCCTGTGGAGAGAGGGCTTTTACTTTCTCCTCTCTGCATCGAAGGATTCAGCAGATGCCAAGGCAAAGAGCCTGGCTCCTGGGATTTCCAAGGCCATTCGGCCAGGCTACCCACCCGCCACACACTACCCAGAATTCCTGGCCCTCCTGGACCTGCCTCATCCCCTCAAGCAGGCGTTTCCTGTTGATAAGAAGCTCAGTCACAAACACTGATAAAGAGATGTAAGAAGGAAACTGACGGGCTTGGGTATAATGGGCACTCTGTCTGCCTCTCTACCCCTCTCCCTTCTCCCGGCACCACCCTCCTAGCTGCTTCCCAGAACTAAACAGAAAACATGCCCCCCACATCCACTCTGGGCCCTGCTCTGGAGTTTCCAGGAATTTAGGTTGCAGACTTACACAGCTCTCGACGTGGGCCTCGTTCGGCCTCAGCTGGGATGGGAGCCCGGTGGCAGGAAGCACTGGGTGCCGAGGCCCCCGGGCCCGGGGAAAGGGCAGTGGCGCAGGAAGGAAGGACGGTCCAGCACAGGTTGCATCCAGGACCCCCTCCCTCCCTCTCCCCCCTCCCAGAGGCCTGGATTCAAGTCTGTAATTAGTGGATTTTCCATGATTTTAGTCTGAGGCCTATTAGTGGAAAATCTCATTACTTTTCGACTGACTCTACTAATTTGGAATCTTTAATCCTTCGGGACAAGAAGGAGGAAGGATGTTTAGGAAAATAAATGGAGCAAACAAGTCTTCAAAGCATCCCCTACTGCTAGGTTTTGGATTCATAAACGCAGATTGACAGTGTCTCGGAAGTGCTCAGCCTGCAGTTAAGATGACCCGCCACCAGGTGGGTGAGGAGGCTTTGCCTGGAGTTGCCATCACTTGGGGATAGAAGGTTTACATTCGATCATCTGTTTTCCTTCTTCCCCAGAGATGCGATTCCTTAATAAAACAAACATGAAGAAGTGGAATAGAAGCCATTGCATGGTGGTACATGCCTATAATCCCAGCATTCTGGGAGGCTGAGGCAGGAGGATCACAAGTTCAAGGTCAGCCTGGGAGAATGTAGTAACTTAGCAAGACCCTGCCTCAAACTTTTTTTAAAAAGCTAAGGATGTAGCTCACTGGGGAGGGTCTGGGTTCAATCTTCAGTACCATGATAAATGAATGAAATCAACAGCTATAAACAACTTGGGGACATTCTCCTGAATTCTTAATTATTTCCAGTCTTGTTATAAGGTCTTGTTCAACGGTTCTCTGCATTCTTTTTTTTGTTTTTGTTTTTTTTTCCAGTACCGGGAATCGAACTCATGACCTTGAGCTTGCCAGGCAGGTGCTATCCCCAGCCCCTCTCTGCATTCTTGACACTGGAAAGAAGGATCAGAGAAGTAAAGAGTGATGACTTTTATCCCAGTTTAAGTTCTAGCTAGGGTTTGCTGTTTCATTTTTGAGTTGATCCAATAAATTTATTCTAAAGCTTACATGGAAGAATACGTTCGTTCACAAGGACATAAGACAATATTTTTCTTATTTTAGGGCTTTTATGTTTTGGTTTTGGTTTTGTTTTGCATACTAGGCAAGAGCCCTAGCACTGAGCCAGGATACTCTTTTGGGGTGGCGAACGGGCATCAAACTCAGGACCTCACGCTAGCCAGGCAGGAGCTGTGTCACTGAGCTAAATCCCTGGCCCTGGGGTAATTTTTGAATAAGTTGTACATTCACGTGTTTCAAAAACAAACGTATCAAAAGGTAGATGGTGAAATGCCTCCTTCCATCTACCCAGGATCCCTGACCTGCCCCCCAAATAAACCCCTGCTGCCCCTCTAAAGTGCTTTTATATGTATACAAATGAATTTGGATGTGGATTTTTGTCACCCCACCTCTTACATAAAAGTAGATTATTATATACACTATTCTGTGCCTTACTTTTTTCACTTAATAATATGTCTTAGAAATATTTATATAAAGGTATAGAGCGCTTTCTCCTGTTTTGCAGTGATATAGTACTCCACTGTTTGTACCATAATCAAATTAGGTTTTTTTTGTTGTTGTTGTTGGAAGTTTGGTGTTTTTCCATCTTGGCCATATATACCATGTGATGAATAAACTTTTATATACATTACTTTGCTTCATTGAAATATAATTGTGAGACAAACTATAAAAAGTAGAATCCCTTGGGTAGAAAGACATGTGCATTTGGCCAAGTCAGTTTTAATGAAGTGTAAAGGAGACTTGCCCTAGCAGATCATTAAAACATATCACAGAATGATAAGTAATACTATACAAGTGGGCAAATAGACAAGTAAACAATCTAACAATCATATCCCCCTGAGAACTGACATGTGGTAAAGACTGCATCAGAAGTTAGTGAAGTTTAGGAGGCTAAGGCAGGAAGATGACAAGTTAGAGCCTAGCCTAGGCAACTTACCAAAACCTGTCTCAAAAATAAAAATTAAAAAAGGGTTGGAGATGTAGCTCAGTGTGAAGGCACCGGGTTCAATCCCTACTACTGGGGAAAACACACACATGCGCACGCATGAGAGCACTTCTGCAAATCAACGAAATCCAACAGAAGAATGGGCAAAAGATGCCAGGCATGGTGGCGCATGCCTGTAATCCCAGCACTCGGGAGGCTGAGACAGGAGGATCGTTGTGAGTTCAAGACCAGCCTGGGCTACAAAGTGAGCTCAAGGCCAGCTCGAACTGCATAGCGAGACCCTGTTTCAAAAAAAAAAAAAAAAAATGGACAAAAGACATGAAGATTTAATCCCTAAAAGAGGAAGTCCAAACTGGGCATGGTGGCTCATGTCAGTAATTCCAGCATTCTGGGAGGCTGAGGCAAGAGGGTGGCAATGGTAAGTTCAAGCCCAGTAGGGCAGCTTAGTAAGGTCCTGTCTCAAAATAAACAACAAAACAAAAAGGTACGGGTGCAGCAGTTCGCTGTGAAGGCCCTGAGTTCAATCTCTAGTACAAGGAGGGGGTGTCCAAATGTCTAACAAATATAAAAAGAAACACTCAAACTCACTAGTAATCAGAGAAATGCACATTTAAATGACATAGCAAGGGCTGGGGATGTAGCTCACCGGCAAAGAACCTGCCAGGCAAGTGCAAGGCCCTGAGTTCGATTTCCGGTACCAAAAGTAAAAATAAAAATAAATGACATAGCAACTGATATCCATCAAAATGGCAAAATCAGCTAAGGCCTGGTATTGACCAGGACATGGGGAAATAGGGAATAGGGACTCTTACACAGTTTTAGAACTAAAAACCAGTAGAGCCTTTTTAGCATTACTCAGAGAAAGTGGGTTTGTCTTTGCCATCTGATCTTGTGATACCATCACTGGCAACTTATCTCAGAAATTCTCAAGCAGGGGCTGGGGATTTAGCTCAGCGGCAAAAGCGCCTGCCTGGCAAGCGCAAGGTCGTGAGTT